TATTAATCTAAATAATAAATTGACAATAACAAACGCGAAATTAAACCGTAAAATTGAGTTTATTGTGTCTATTTTTCCAGAAAACTGGAGAAGTATTATAAAAATATTTTAAATTAGAAGTTACGGGTATGCGAATCTCGCTTCTTCGGGCTATAACTTACTACCTTAACATCTTTACGTGGTAGCAGCATCTTCACCTAACTTCTAAAGTTTAAACTTCTCTAATATGAACAGCGACACGTGTCATCGTGTTATGTAATAACATACTGATTATTACTCATTGTATACGATATGTCATTCGTAGACTTCCGGTATTCGCCTAACAGAGGTAATATAAAGACGTCAATGGAACACAGACCTTTACTCTAGTAGATATCGGACCACTGCCATTGTGACTCACGCGCACACTCAAGCGGAATGTAGATTGACCACACTGGCTTAATGACCAACATGGAACTCGTCTTGATATTTGTACTAATAAAAGAAGGACACTTCTTAGACTTTATTAATTGTGAATTGTTTTTGTTTCGAGAAAGTTGAACGTAATGTACGACACACTGATCTATTTTTTATGTTTCATTGCCTAAACAAACAAAGACATGGAACAAAACAAGTCAATATAAAATGTAGTAAAGTCGATATAAGTCGTGGCCTAAATGATAAGAACGGTGCATTCGTATCGAGCGATACGACTGTGCCGATGTTCGATTCCCGCAGTCCTGTAAAAAAATCCTGTAAAAAAAAAATTTCAAATGAAAAACGTACTTAGCGTATTTTCAGAAATTACTTCCACGATGAAGGAGTAACATCGTGTAAGCAAAAATCAAACCCACAAAAAATTTAATTGGCGTAAATACTCTACCACCAATTTTGCGACTTGATTTTCGATTAAAAAAGTTATTAGTAATGATAAATCGTATTATGGACGTCGAATAGGTAGGTATCGTCTGTTTTCTATTTATGTTTAAAACTATTAGCAATTATTTTAATGAAACACGTACTTAAATGTTCACGAGCGACTTCCACGGTGCAGCAATATCATCTTGTAACAAAAACCAAATCCGCAAAAATTATATTTGCGTTATTACTGGTGGTAGGGCGTCTTGTAAGACCGCACGTGTGCACGGCTGGTAACCAACACCTTGCGTATCTCTGCAGCGAGGTAGTAATTCGAGTAAGTAACACCATATAGTACGTCACCATGTTCACCCGTCTAAGTAATAAATAATAAATAATAGTGGTGATAAAAAATAAATTATAAATGTCATCGGTCTTTAATAAGTATACCAAATTTCGAGTTAATCCGACGTTTTGAAGGGGGTCAAAATCATGTTCAACGTAACATACTAACATACACACGTCTGAAGCTAATAAAAGCGTATTAAAAAACAATTCGGGGTCTGACCTTAGGGGAGATCGGACGCTTGGGCGAGGGTGAAGAGGAGTCGTTTAGTGGCTAAGGCCCTAAATTCACGCCCTTGGATCCATTGTCCACTCTTTTGCACTTGCGGACCAGTCCTGCATAAGTCGCGCACCACATAGGCTCGGGGACCTCAACAGAAGGCTCGGCCCATGGCCCGAAAAAAAAAAGGGATCGAGCAACGTACTTCTGGTACCACGAACGTTTTATTTCTTGGATTTTTTTTTATTGCTTAGATGGGTGGACGAGCTCACAGCCTAATGTTACTGGAGCCCATAGACATCTACGACGTAAATGTGCCACTCACCTTGAGACATAAGTTCTAAGGTCTCAAGTTTCACTGGTGGACGACCTCTTTTGAGTCCGCACGGGTAAGTACCACCGCCCCACTTATTTCTACCGTGAAGCAGCAATGCGTTTCGGTTTGTAGCCGTTGTAACTATACTGAGACCTTAGAACTATACTCAAGGTGGGTGGCGCATTTACGTTGTAAATTCTATGAGCTCCAGTAACCACTTAACATCAGGCGGGCTGTGAGTTAGTCAACCAATAAAAAAAAGTATAGTTACAACGGCTGCCCCACCCTTCAAACCGAAACGCATTACTACTTCACGGCAGAAATAGGCAGGGTGGTGGTACCTACCCGCGCGGACTCACAAGCGGTCCTACCACCAGTAAAATATGAAATACGCACCAGTCATACGAAATGAGATGTATGTTTTTGATACAGTTTGGAAGTGGCAATAGATACACCTTGGTCACAGCAGCTCCATTAGCGATAGTAAAACGTTGCTCAATTGATCAGATGGGGGCTTAACAAAGACATCCTGTTAACGATTAAGAAGACTCAGGTCTGATTCTTGGAATTTACGAGCTCCGTTTTATGTTGGGGGAAATTTGATAGACCACCGTCAAAATATAAGAATTTTAAATATATTTTTTACTTTTATAGTTAAACATATCCAGGGGTGATAGATTGTTTAGATTAAGCGACATTTTTGCAACTTTACAGGAGAGCCATTTAAAGTTTAAGATTTGGAAAAAATATCATAACCAAACAATAATTCAGCTATTTGAATGGAGTAAACATGATTGAAGTTTACTCCATTCAACCTGCAAGCCGACCTGTACGTCACTCTCGCGGCCGTATGCCCCATGCCCGTTCGCTATACATAGTTTTTAGTATCTATGTCCATCTTTTGACAGAGTGTATAATCTATGTTCCGGGCGCTTCCGTTCGAGTGTGAGTAGCCGAGTAGCGTGCGCCCGCGTCTTGTTGTAATTATCCCTTTAAATCGAAAATTGTTTAAGAATGATTAGAATTCGAAATTCGATACTAGTGACTAACCCATAGTTTTTTTGAATAAAAATACCCCTAAGATCTATCCTTAACTATAAGTTCAATTAAGAATAGTACAAAGATAAATGTCGCGTATTAAGCGAAATGTCGCTTAAACAAAATAGCCTGTCATTCCTCAAATTATGTGTTCACGGTCCACTGGGTGCTAAGTAACATGACATATAAATGAATTTTAAATTGTATTGGTATGACAAACTGTCCCAAACCGAAGCTCATCGCGATAGAAAATAGTTAAGATGGTCGTACCTAGCCAATGGGGTCATAGACTCATACATCCTAGCATCAGTAGATTGGACGTATATGGGTCGAAGCCTGAACAGTAACAGCGACTTTTGCCAAATTAAAGAATGATTTATCCTTTTAATAACATCTAAAGACTGTCAAAACTGACTTATTAAATGTGGAACAAGTTCTTATGTATTTTAAGGTAGTATTTTGATGTTGATCTCTATTTAATCCAAACTAGTGGTCACCCGGTAGTCAAAATTCGACTATAATTAATTGAAATTATAAGTTTGTACACTATTATGATTCTATTTCAAAGACACTTTATAACACTTCTATAATCAGAAATTTCGCCAAGACTACACTATAGAAAAATATTAATAAAAAAAAACAATATTTAATCTATTCTCCATTTGACCACAGACATCAAGAACAAAAGTTTTGACGATAAATAAATAGTATGCATGCGTGTGTATGTCAAATACATGGTAGTGTTTGTAATGTTTTCTTTATTGATTTGTTGTATCGTTTTATGCATTATTTAAAAAAAATATTAGTATTGTGCACTTCTTCTCTATATTCTCTATAAGTGTGGAAAATTTCATACTCCTCCGTAAGTGCAATTTTCGTAAAAAGGGATAAAAAGTTTTTTCTTCACGTATTAATATATAGATTAAACAAAACCAACGTAACTCGGAAGTGTTTTAAGAAATTCCACAGCTTTCTTCGACAGTGCTTCTCTAGAAATCGTATTGCCGCGTACCATTTGGCGTTGCAATCAAGTTCCTTCCACGCTATCGCCTGAGCACTAAGGCTTGTTCTTCTTTAGACGTATTTTCAAAAGTCATCAGCAGTAAGAAACGGTTTGCTGGTGTTCCTAACATTTGGGATGACCAAGATCGACGGTAACTGTTTGACGTTAGATAGGACTTATGCTCGTTTACCGACAAAAGCAATAAAAAACAAATACACACAAACCTAGTAGAACAGAAAGCGTACATGACCCACACACTTACAGGTCAGCCGGTTTTTGGCCGTGAACGCTAATATTTGAATGCCATATAGGAATCCATACTAATATTACAAATGTGAATGTTTGTTTGTTTGCTTATTTGTCCTTCTGTCACGCCCAAACAAAGTGACAGATTGACGTGATTTTTTAAGTAATACACATAGGGCACATAGGGCACATAGTGACTGTGCTTGGCCAGAGTTTGATTTTTGTAAGTAAATTAAGTAATTTTATAACAACTACCAAAGTTATGTGATGTTTTATAAGGTAAACATTTATAATAGTTATTTTCGTACAACAAATTATAAGTTTCTATATGTAACCAGTATTTGAGTACTTTTTCCATATTTAACGTTTATTTGTAATTTTGTTTAACCCTCAATTTAATAATTATTATAATACTAGCGACCCGCCCTCGCTTCGCTTCGGAAACTGTAATTTATTATTGATTTCTCCACTATTTAATGGATGTTATTATACATACAAACCTTCCTCTTCAATCACTCTATTTATTAAAAAAAACCGCATCAAAATCTGTTGCGTAGTTTTAAAGATTTAAGCATACATAGGGACAGAAAAAGCGACTTTGTTTTATACTATGTAGTCATTATGAACATAAGATGTTACTTAGCTCTTTAAAAATATATCTCTGATTATTGTTACGTCAGTAAATGATAAATCTTTGAATAGTTTTTTTATTTTATTTTCGAGCCAAAAAGAAAATAGTAGCCTATATTTGGTTACTTTCTTCTAGTATTAAGTCAAAGCAGTGACATAGGCTACCTTATATCCAGATAAAAAACATTTAACTCCCACGGGAAATTACCCCGTTATATTTATTTTTCGACAAGGATAAAGCCGCGTGTAACAGCTAGTAACATATTTTACTGACACGGAAAATCCAAACTAGCTTTTTATAGGAGATTTATAGGAGATTAAGGAGATTAAGGCCTTAAAATTAAAAAAAAAAACCTTTGATTCCCAAACTTTATTAGATTCTGTTTATTCGCAATCAATCACAGTCGCAAGAATCGTCTTGAACTTCGTTGTTGAACTCGACGGTGATTATAGACTTTCCCTCGACAAGCACCTTCGCTTGATTGTCACCGAACTTCAAACGAATAACTCTGTCTTTGTTATCTCTGTGAAATCAGAGAGAAAATCCATGAAGAAACAGTTATAAAGTAATTTTTTTTTATTGCTTAGATGGGTGGACGAGCTCACAGCCCACCTGATGTTAAGTGGTTATTGGAGGCCATAGACATCTACAACGTAAATGCGCCACCCACCTTGAGATAAAGTTCTAAGGTCTCAAGTATAGTTAAAACGGCTGCCCCGCCCTTCAAACCGAAACGCATTACTGCTTCACGGCAGAAATAGGCAGGGCGGTGGTACCTACCCGCGCAGACTCACAAAAGGTCCTACCACCAGTAATGTAATTTACCTCTGATTTTGGACTAACCCGACCTGGGAAATATGCCATAACAAAGCATATTTGACTTGTCCGAACGTAAACATGCGTTTGGCTTATTGAAGTCACTAAAGAACTTATAGACTTCAGGTCAAAATCCTTTTCGGGTCACCGACTCATTGTTAAACACACTTAGAGCCTGGGGACTCGGACGTGGGTGATTCCTGAATCCAGTCGAAGTATTCCTTGCCTTAGCAACGGCACCTACACATTAAGTCGAAGGATATGATCGCATACCGTGAGTTCAGAAAGTCCTCACCATCAGTACTAGTGGAACTAGAGAGAGACTTAGATATACACGCCTATTTCTGCCGTGAAGCAGTAATGCGTTTCGGTTTGAAGGGTGGGGTAGCCGTTGTAATTATACTGAGACCTTAGAACTATCTCAAGGTGGGTGGTGCATTTACGTTGTAGATGTCTATGGGCTCCAGTAACCACTTAACACCAGGTGAGCTGTGAGCTCGTCCACCCATCTAAGCAATAAAAAAAAATACACGAATATAATGTTAGAGAAAACAGGATTGTATACTCATATGTATTTTCTTGATTAGAGCCTAAAAGACTTATCATACGAGATAGAAAGTACATGTTTAATTGGCCTTTATCTTTTTATTTTACTTTTGGGGTATGGGGCTGTAATCTCAAACATATTATTTCACGGTTATTGTAGTTTTCAGATCTGAGGTAGGGGAAGAGGTCGACCGAAGAAGACATGGATGGAATGTATGTATGGCGATATGAGAGAGAGAGGAGTGAGTGTTGAAATGACGGCTGATAGAAGAGAATGGAATAGAAAAATTCGCTGTGCCGATCTCACCTAGTGGGATAAGGTGGAGAAAAAGAAAAGAGAAGAGATCTGCACGCATTATTGCTGGCAGAAACAGACACAATAGCATCAACGGCCGTCTGGTGTAGTGGTAAGTGACATGGTCACTACACAAGGGGGTCGCGGGTTCGAATCCCGCCAAGGGAAGATATTTGTATGGTAAATATAAATGTCTTTTCCAGGGTTATAGATGTGTATTAAATATATGTATGTGTATAATAAAAAAACCTTACATTTATTTCCGTTATCTGGTACCTGTAACACAAGTTCTTTACGAACTTATCACGGGACCAGTTAATGTGGCGTGATTGTTAGTAAATACTTATTTATTTATTTATTTATTTACTAGTACAGGCTTATTCTCTCGTTATTGACATCGCATTAACGACCTTCGTATCACGCGACTCGATTCAAATTAAAATAGGACATGAAATCCCGAAGCAGATCTCAAAGACCTTTTCCACTGGATCAGGTCGCTCTTCTATTAAATTCCGTTCTCTAAACAACTTACTCGTTAAGAAGAACCACGACGATAGTATTTTCTGGTGTCAAAAAGGCTACGTGTTTCAAAGCGTTTGAACAGTTATATTTCTCCGTAGACTTGATCCTCCTCGAGCCTCTAGGGATGAACTTCGAGAAATGACCCATAGCATAGAATATCGGCTGCTTGTAGAAGACACCTGCCTCCGCGTCGACAACGATCGGCGAGTCGACATAATTTTTGACCCAATTTGGACCACCTTCAGTATCGAGACACAAATTCCAATCTATCCAACCGGTGTAGTTATAGTTCAAGTCCTGCAATTAATTTTAAAGATTTAAAATATAACTTATTTTAACATGCTTCTATAGCTAGAACAGAAATATTTTTCACGTTTGACTACGATCCTAGTGTATTACTTTCGAGGCTGGAAGTAGTCTTGAAGTCACGGCAACTCATGTATTATTATTCATCGAATCACACAAATAAAACAATATTCATTTCTTAAATAAGCTATAAATTACATTTCTATGAAATATCAATAATTTTGAAACGTGGTTAGTACAGAAACGATTGAAAACGTCGTGTGCACATAGTGTTTCTACTGGGCACTTGAAAATAGCTGGGTTTTTTTTGTCAGTTTCTGTCAGGGTGTGTAGCAAAATAATCCCTTTTGACGTGACAACGTCTTATAATTCGATAGAGCCGGCTGCACGCACGAAAAAACATGACTCATTGAGGCGTTCTATTTAAGGCTTGAAGTGCAAGTGAGAGCGCGCAACGAGCGACAAAGAGGCACAATCGGACTCCGCTTTCGGCAGCGTTCGGTATCTGTCTCTCTCCTACTTAAGTGAGCGATGCATCCGCGTGGGCAGCTGCTATACAAGAATACATTTACATGTTTTCGTCAAGTATGAAGTTCAGTGAAAAGTGAATGTGGTGTCAATTTTCCATACAAAATATCTATCCAAAATAAAATTAAATTTTCTTTTGAAAAATGAAACCATTCCATCAGTATTTTCTTATGACGTTATTACGTTCAACTATCGTCAGTAAACCGACTTTACAGACAACCGATTTTTTTTGTCAGTTTTTTTCAGCGTGTATAAAAAAAAAAAAAAAAATAGTTTAAAAAAAATAAAAGACGCTTTTATAGAAAATCCAAATAAAAAATTGAAAATAAATTTTAGTAAATTTGAATTAAATTCAATTGAAAAAATTGAATCAAAATTAGATTTTATTGTAAAAAAGCGTGAGGTGCATAGTATAAGTACATAGTTATAAATATTTAATGAACAGATACGAGTAAAGGGTTTATTATGATAATATCCTCAAAAGCGCCCACGATTTTTTACAATAAAATCATTTTTTCTTACATTATTTTTAATTCAAATTTCTTAAAATTTATTTTCTATTTTTTAGTTGGATTTCAATTTTTCAAATATATTTTTTTGCAATTTTCTTTTTAAGTATTTAATTGTCATCGGTCCTTAATAAGTATACCAAATTTCGAGTTAATCCGACGTTTTTAAGGGGGTCAAAATGATGTTCAAAGATTCCGTTACATATATACATACATCCATACATACGTCTGAAGCTAATAAAAGCGTATTAATAATCCCTTTTTTGTCAGTTTTTGTCAGCGTGTATAGTAAAATAAATCGCAATAAATAATCGCAATCGCCTGAACATCGGCAACGCTAGTGACGAAACCGTGTCACTGTCTCCTTTGTTCATAACGACAGACATTACGAAAAGATACACAGAAGATACCAGAACAATTTGAAAATTAAGACTTTAAATTCAGTAATTGCCAAGCGTATTACAAACATATTGTACCTGTATTAAAGAAACAGCGTACTTCTCTAAGCCGTCCCAAGAGCCGAGGTCAACACCCTTTGTCTCCGCTGAAAATAATTAATAATAATATATATTTTACTGCTAAACCTACTACTTACTACTAGTTCAGTCCTCCTAACTACTTGCCAAGTAGGGATTACTGTTTGAATAATAACGTAATCATTATTTCATTATTCCAATGAGCCTTTCACCCCGAGCTACAGAGGGGCGGCGGCTTAACCACTTAGCCAAGGATCGGTCGTGAACTTGTCAGGATATTATTATTGCTCCTCCTTGACTCCAAGAAAAACAGACAGTACACTGCCCCTCTAATATCATCCTCATCATCCAACCATAGACTAAACATTGACTTCCACGGTGAAGGAATAACATCGTGTAATGAAAATCGAACCCGCAAAATTATAATTTGCGTAATTACTGGTGGTAAGATCTCATGTGAGTCCGCACGCGTATGTACCATCACCATGCCTATTTCTGCCGTGAAGCAGTAACACGTTTCGGTTTGAAGAGTGAGGCAGCCATTGTAACTATACTCGAGACCTTAGAACTTATATCTCAAGGTTAGTGGCGGCATTTACGTTGTAGATGTCTATGGGCTCCAGTAATCATTTAACACCAGTTGGGCAGTCAGCTCGTCAACCCAAATATGCAATAAAAATAAAATAAAATAAATAGACATAGGTCTCTCCTAATTTACAATGCTGAGCCCGGTCTTCCGTGAGCTACTGCTAAAATCTAATCAATCCTAGTGTTTTTGGTTATTTTGAATTGTGATAGTCCCAATTAACGCAAATAAAAAAGTCATCATCAGCCTTTATCTACCCACTGCTGGACATAGGCCTTCCCCAATGTTTTCCACAGAATGCGGTCCTCCGCCTTCCGCATCCAACGACTTCCCGTCGTACGCACTAAGTCGTCGGTCCAACTGGTTGGAGGACGCCCCAAGCTCCTGGTACCGATCCGTGGCCTCCATTCGAGGACTTTCCTCCCCCACCTGGCATCGTATAATAAAAAAGGTAAACCCAACTAATCGAAGCCTCCGTGGATATTAAGAAAAGGTCTGGATAGTCTTTAAGAACCGTCGTTGTCATTGAAGGCGGCGTTATATCGTTAAAATAAAAGTGGAGGGCGATCCCATCAAGAACCTGCGCAACTTCGGGACGCTTCAATATTACCTGTGAAATAAATTTGGTTTAATGTTTATACCCCAAAGTAATGAACATTTTCCTAATAAGATATGACCTAAAGGTCTATGTTACCAGGTCTGATGGTAGGTCCTCTAATGGTGGTAGGACCTCTTGTGGGTCCGCACGCGTAGGTACCACCACACCGCCTATTTCTGCCGTGAAGCAGTAATGCGTTTCGGTTTGATGGGTGGAGTAGCCGTTGTAACTATACTGAGGCCTTAGAACTTATATCTCAAAGTGGGTGGCGCATTTACGTTGTAAATGACTATGGGCTCCAGCGACCACTTAACACCAGGTGGGCTGTGAGCTCGTCCACCCATCTAAGCAATAAAAAATAAAATAAAAAAATCTATTAAATTAATTTATATTAGGTTTTTTAAAAGCACATCTAATTTCAAGCAATTTCGGTATTCTTGTGAATTCCTATAAAGAAAATAGAATGAATCGTAACTCACTGCTGTAAACCAAATAGGTAGTGTATTCCTTTGATCGTCAATACCAAGAATTTTAATTGTGGAATCATAATTCTTGATTGTCGGTCCTAGATAATCAACAATCCATGAACCCTGAAAATAGGTGTAGATTAATTACAAATTATGACATACAACATTTTGCGACTTTATTCATTATTACAACGTAACCAATAGCTAATAGCAATGTATTTTGTCTCTTTCGACCACATTAAAAACGGTAGGCAGCGGCTTGGCTCTGCTCTTGGCATTGCTGAAGTCCATGGGCGACGGTAACCACTCACCATCAGGTGGGCCGTGCGCTTGTCTGCCTACAAGGGCAATAAAAAAAAAGCAATAAAGCAATAAAGCTTACTATAAAGTCAATGATTATCTAGAAGATTGCACAAATTGGGAATGAGTTGCTCGCTCCGGGCATTTCAATATTGCAATAATCGTTACGTTATAATACTCATTGTAAAAATGAATATTTAAAAAAAATCTAATATTTAAAAAAACCGTCTAATATTTAAAAAAGAAAAAGACATGCCCGCTGAGTTTCCTGCCAGTTCTTCTCAGGACGGAGGCTAATTCTTGAGAATTGGCGGTAGTTCTTTTTGACGTTCAACAAGCATGTACTTTCATTTATGTTGAATTAAAAAAAGAAAAATTTTAATTTGAATCTTAGTGAAAGAGACAGAAAGCGATAAATCATTTAAATCTTGGTAGATCCTGAACAAATCGAGTTAATATAACCGTTTTTAAGAAGAGTAATTTTGCTATTTAAGCTCAGTATCCCATAACCGACGGGCGGAGGACAAGCGGTTACACGGTCGACATCATGAAAGCTGTGACACAGACGTCCTTAGTCCGAAGAAGCAGAGACGCTGAATACCCAAAAAGTGGTGGCATCGTGGGGACTGCTTTAACCAATGAAAAGGCAGCGTTATGAACCACTACCACTCTATCAAGAGTGAGCAACTAAAGAAAGGAGATCCCATAACTATACATATAATAATATGTCATACCATTAACTCCTTTTCTTTTTACTATTTATTAATTTAAATATTTAAATGTTTGATAAAACTGCTAGAATAGTATTAGCACTGTTATGTCTTATCGAGATTTTTCTAGATGTAAACTGGTTTACTGGTGGTAGGACCTCTTGTGAGTCCGCGCGGGTAGGTACCACCGCCCTGCCTATTTCTGCCGTGAAGCAGTAATGCGTTTCAGTTTGAAGGGTGGGGCAGCCGTTGTAACTATACTGAGATCTTAGAACTTATATCTCAAGGTGGGTGGCGCATTTACGTTGTAGATGTCCATGGGCTCCAGTAACGACTTAACACCAGGTGAGCTGTGAACTCGTCCACCCATCCAAGCAATAAAAAAAAAAAAAAAACTAAGCGAAACTTTTGTGTTTGCTAAAATTACTGAAAGGTAGGCCGTTGCCTGACTGTCCTCTGGGCATTGCTGTCTTCCCTGAGCGACGGTAGCCACCCAGCTTAAGACGGACCGTGTGCTCATCTGCCTACAAGGGCAATAAAAAAAAACCACACGGTTAAGTACCACCACGGCCGTCTGGTGTAGTGGTGAGTGACATGGTCACTACACAAGGGGGTCGCGGATTCGCATCCCGCCAAGGGAGGATATTTTATATGATAAATATAAAATGTATTTTCTAGGGTTATGGATGTCGATTAAATATATGTATGTGTATATTAAAAAAAACTTACATTTATTTCCGTTATCTGGTACATGTAACACAAGTTCTTTACGAACTTAGCATTTATTTTATATTACTTAAATATTTATTATTTTATTTATTTATTTTGTCATAAATAAATAAATAAAATGAATAGAAACCATGTTAGCAGCAGAGCATTCGTTGTACTGTAAAACTGGGACGTTGGGGCTTAGAATCCAACTCGACAAAAGACATTACACTCACCATCCCCTCGATTGTCCAACCAAGACAATTGAAGTCCGGTAGATCTACAACACCATTCAAAGGTTCATTTGTGGTAGTTATAGCCCAAAAAGAAATGTTGTTCCTTTTGTATTCTTCTAGGAACCTGTGGAAGAGTAAAGCAGAGAAGATAGAAAAAGAGCAGAGAAATAATCATCATTGTCGGTTACTCTTGATAGAGCAGTAGTGGTTATATGAAGTTCTTGTTTATTGAGCCTTGACAGCTGCTCTCCGTAGTTCGCGATCTGAGGCTTGGCACACGAACTCGATAAGTGGACTTATTTAATTTTATTTATTCACTAGCTGTACGGGTACCCGTCCGCTTTGCTGGGCATTTAAAATTAACATTATTATTTCTCATCCCCACAAAGATTCTCATCATTAACGGCCCCGCAACTGGTGTAGAGAGTCCAACACTCATATAAATATTAGCCTATCCATTAAGTACATGTATTTTCTACATGGATATAAAGTTTCAAGTCAATCGGATGCACGGTTCAGTAGTTATAACAGAACATCCGTAAAAACCACTGTAGATTTATATACCTATATTAGTATATATTATAAACTGGCTAACCCGACAGATTTCATAGTGCCTCAATCGATAAATAAAAGACCTAAACTTTTGTATAAAATAAACTTAAAACAAACAAAAGGAATCTGTTCGACGGGAGACACATCAAAGGAAAAACAAAATTGTTATTTTTATTTCATTCCGAACATTTTCATTCATTTATCTACCTTTTAAACCTTCTCTGGACTTTCACAAATAATTCAAGACCAAAATTAGCCAAATCGGTCCAGCCGTTCTCGACTTTTAGCGAGACTAACGAACAGCAATTCATTTTTATATATATAGATAGATAGATAGATAGACATAAGATAAGATAAGATAGATTTAAGGAAATACCTTCTTTAAAAAAATGTTTCTTATTTAATAAAGGTACGTACAGATCAAATGCGAGCACGCACTTACTTCTTGTGGTAATTAGCATACGCCTCAAAATACTCTTCCTTAAGAAAACCAACGCCCGTTAATGATCCGGAAGTCTTCATCCACGCTGGAGGTGACCACGTTGTTCCAACCATGAAGACCTGCGAGCTCGCTGCAGCTATGCAAGCTTTTATCATTGGCAACTAAAACAACAACAACATTTTGTTTTGTTTGTATTATCCTGATTACAGTACCATCTTCATAGCCAGTTAGGTTAGTTGCGAAGAGCTCATGAGCCACGACCGTGGACTGCGTGTACGGGAAGGTTGGAAAATCGGGAAACCTGCTTGCTTGCTGGTTGGTGCAGTAGTTAACGCCTGCCGAAGTGCCAAGTGCCACCACTGCAGTGGCTGCAACGAGGACACGGCGGAGCACACGCTCGCGAACTGCCCCGCTTTCGCGGAGCAGCGCCGCGTCCTCGTGGCTGACATAGAAACGGACTTGTCGCTTCCGACCATCGAGGCCACGATGCACGGCAGCGCGAGTCCTGGCAGGCGATGCTCGACTTCTGCGAGTCCACCATCTCGCAGAAGGAGGCGGCGGAACGGGAGAGGGAGAGCTCTTCTTCCCTCTCGGCGCCGTGCCGCCGCCGCCGAGCCGGGGGTCGAGGAAGGGCGTTTGTCCAGCTCTGGCCCCTATGAGGAGGAAGTCTCCTCCCGGTGATGGTCACGGGGTGACCTAAGGGGGTTGAGGCTGCGCCGCACGCTACCATCACTCTAGCGCGCTGGCACCAGGAGGACGGGACGGCGCTTCGGCGGCTGCGGACTGGATGCGGTCCGCATTTTCATCGTCGCTGTCGTCGCCGAACATACTATGGAAGCTTGTACACGGCGGTGTATGGCGTTCCGACCCAGCAGGCTGGTTCTAGCCCAGCGGGGTATCCCGGAACACCAGCAGCATCGCCTGGGCGGCCTGGTAGGGTCGCTGTAACGCGAAGACCGACGTCGTTGGTCGTCGACTATCGCCTCAACGACCCGTCAGTCGGGCGTCCTTGGGGTGACGCCGCGTGTCTGGTTCTATCTAGCGATGCATCATTCGTATCTAGCGTTGCACCGGACGTCTTATCCTGTAGGCCACGACGATTTCTTATTCCCCTTTTTACCATCGCACGAATCGTCATCCGTACTACCCGGAACTTCGTACAAATTTTTCGGTGGATTTTCAGAGGTGCCCCGTATGATTGGGCGAACTCCCCTTCATTGACTTTCTTTATCGTTACGATACCTCGTCAAGCGACGGTCAAGGAAAGAGAGCTATGAATGTTAATATCATGACTACATCATGTTATTCTCTCTAACCGTCACCCACCCGCCTGCTAGCCTATCTTTGTCAGTAACAAAAAACCCAGCGATACCAAATACTTCACCTTATAATTGTAATCTTCGTAGGTTAAACTGAAGTTTCCGAGCTCCTTATCATCGAGAGGATAGTCGTTCAAAGTGTATGCGCGGCTTGAAAAATCACTACCTCCTATCGGTGTTCTAATCATGTTGTACTCTAATCCAGTATCGCTGAAGTATGAACTGGAAACAAAACAGATTAGGCACCAGGACTCTTATTGTAGAATTAGCAGACGAGATCACAGTGGCCCGTAATTAAATAACAAATTTATTTTATTAGTTCTAAAGGCATACGGCTCATCTGAATTTATAAGACAAGTGATCATCATAGAGTTCAGTCAGGGTAGGAATATAAGCAAACCGCTGCCTACCGTCTGTACCTTTCTTTTCACGATATTAACAGAAATACCTTAAAAGTTAAATAGACTGATATGATGAACATAGAACAGCCATTATCAGATACAGTTAAGACTTAAACTTCAACGGCATTCACATTATGTCTATGAACATCTTGCTCTGAGCTCGTTCATGCATACGTTTTTTTNCTTTCTTTTCACGATATTAACAGAAATACCTTAAAAGTTAAATAGACTGATATGATGAACATAGAACAGCCATTATCAGATACAGTTAAGACTTAAACTTCAACGGCATTCACATTATGTCTATGAACATCTTGCTCTGAGCTCGTTCATGCATACGTTTTTTTTTTGTTTCTTAGATAACTGGACTCTCTCCTGGTCCATACCGTTACTGTAGCCCATAGACATCTACAATGTAAAAGCCGCCGTTTTTAAAGTGCAACGGCTGCCCCACCCTTCGAACCGAAACGGATTACTGCTTCACGGCAGAAATAGGCAGGGTGGTGGTATCTACCCGTGCGGACTCACAAGACGTAATTACGCAAAATATACCTCGATGCTATTCCTTCACCGTGGAAGTCAATCGTGACCAAACGTAATAAATGAATTAAAATAACGCGATAAATCATTAAAATTAATAAATAGGCAATTACTCAATCAAAGCTTGCTTTAGGCCTTCATCTTGAATGTTGTTCCAAATGAAGCCCGCAGAATCGGTGACAGCGCCTCCGAAACCATGTATAGTCTGGTATTTAGTCGTGGGATCCAGTTCTATTGTCGTAGAACAATCGGATACTAAAATGAAGTTAATCTGATAAGCGACACAGAAAAACATAAACGGCAATACTGCTACCTCCACTGCAACATGAAATTTAGAATGCATTAAGTTTCACCAGGGTTAAAGAGTTCTCAGCTGTGGGCAGCTATTTTGGCGGGGGATTCGAACAGACAGACACTAGACATTATCGGGTGAGCTGTAGATTCGTCTGAATTAGGAGGCATTAAAAAAAACGTGTGGCACTCGGGGACTGCCGCGGTAAAGCTATTGCATAGCATTTTTTATCAACTTATGCAATAGACAATAATAATTTAATATTAAAACAATAATAAAATAAGACCACGCTATATTTATAAACATTAACAAAAGCAAAACATTAACTGTCCCCCTCACACTAATAAGCTAGATCGCGCGAAAGAGAGATGGGCAGACTTTTCATGATACACATGCAGTGCAACGTCAAGCCGCGCGCTTATTCACAAACACTACACAAGCGCAACGTGTGAACGTTTTTTTTTTTTTATGATTGATAGATTACTGGTGGCCCGGAGGCCTTTCCAGTTTCACCAGGACATGTGGGCGAGCAAAAGCTCAGCCAGGAGGGGTGGGATTTGCTAACAACTGTCCGAGCGCCTCCGAAGGAGACCTAACAACTCAAGAGCAATTGCTTCGCGAATGAATCTACTACCGGATCGGAATCGCGACCCACTGAGAAGATCCGGTGAGAAACTCAGCGGGCTGATGCATGGGTTAGGTTGCACGTCGACCTCTTTGTCGATTTCGACGAGTACGGTTACCGGGGTTCCTAAGCCTACTCCTAGTGTTAGCGCTGAAGACGTCTAATGCAAAGGTTATTGGATCTGATGGATCCGTAAGGACGTGTCTAGGGCGTCGACGATGACTGGCTCCTGCATGATCAGGATTCGGGGAGTAGTCAGCGGCGGCCACGATAAGGCGATTATCATGACGCATAGCCTTATCGAAGTACCGTTCCGACGCTGACTTCATGTATTTCTGGACTGATTCGAGGCCCAGGTCGTCGTGTAGGTCAACGTTCCTCACGAACCACGGAGCTCCAACGGCTAACCTGCAAAAGCGGGATTGTAGGGATTGGAGGGTGTCTATGTGTGTGCGGGCCGCGTGAGCGAACACCACACTCGC